CACACACACACACACACACACACACACACACACACACACACACACACACACACACACACACACACACACACAAACACACACAAACACACACAAACACACACAAACACACACAAACACACACAAACACACACACAAACACACACAAACACACACAAACACACACACACACACACACACACACACACACACACACACACACACACACACACACACACACACACACACACACACACACACACACACACACACACACACACACACACACACACACACACACACACACACACACACACACACACACACACACACACACACACACACACGTGCAAGCTCATGTAGACCCCGATCGGTCAAACACCCCTGACACATGCAGCGGACCAACTGCCCCAAGGCTCGTTGCAGTTCCGGGTTTGCCTGGTCTCGCCATAGCACTCGTCCCCCAGCGAGTTCGCCTGCGGACAAAATTCGACGATTTAAAGAAATCCATGGGACAATTGTCACACACGCCCTTTGGGGATGACTACAAGACCGAAACCGGTGGCGTGCTGGGGTTGGTAGGAGGAGTCGAGGGAGTTTCCTGGCTTCGGGTGAGGAACTGCAAACCACTAGATGCCCGTGTCAAACTGGCCCCGCGGAAATAAGTGCTGGCCAGGGCACAAGTAGTTGAACGGCAAAAGGTTCCACTTGACATGGACGCCACCTCCCTTCGAGGGGAAGGTCCTCAAGCTGGCCGTTTGCTTTCTGCTGTGGGCTCGCCTAAGGTCAAGCCGAACAGACCCCGAGAGCCGTCTTCCCAAAATGGTTTTGCAAAGAAGGACGGGTGAGAATGGAGAAGGGGATCAACGTTCCAGGGCAACTCATCGTAGAGATAGCCAAAAAGGTGATGTTGAAAACCATCTACGGGTCAAAAGGGCTTTTTTCGGGCACCCTCTTGTGCGGCCAACCACACGTGACATCTCGCCTGAATGCGAATGTCCCGGGTGCGGTGGGTGATGCCCAAGTTGCAGCTCTTTGTACAGGCCTGCCACAATCGACACTCGGTCTCGCCCGGCGCACCCCAAAACACACACACAGCCTGCCGTTGTCCCAAGTGTATATACGCACCAAGTTTTATGGAACCTGACGTTCGGGTCCCTTTAAAAGGAAAATGATCGTCCAGGATTTCCTTGTGAGGTTCCATTATTGGGCAAGGACTCATTATATTGGGCGCAAGAGGGGCGCCCTATAGGCCCTGTTTCGACCGCCACATGAGGTGTTCCTTGGCTTTCCTTCAAAACACGCCCAACAGGGGCACGCTCTAAACTGGGTGCTCAACGGGGTTCTAGAACATTTGAAGAATTACTCATCTATCTAGGTTTCCGTTGGGAGAAAATTCCAAACTATGTTTGCTTTTTAGCACCCAAAAGCAACAAAGCCAGGAAGCAACGACCCCTCGGCAGGTGAAACGGGTCCCTGGTATCACGTTCTTGGCGAATCTATGAACTTCAAAAAACCATACCCGGAGGAAAACCCTGGGGTCTTTTCAAAATAAACTCCCAGCAGCATCTATTCCGTGCTTGATATGATGGGGCTGGGTGTGAATTGACATGGGTGCACGAAAAACACACAAAAAGCACAAACAACTATTGACTTTTGTTGAACTGGCTACAAAGGCCTTACAATTCCCCCAATGAAACCAGTAGAACCAGCCACTCAAATGGCCTTCTTGGGAGTTTGGCCAGCTCAGGCCGAGACCCAAAGCATGCGTGATCGATCGATCCGGCCTCCCAGTCTCGCCACACATCCCACTCGCAGTTGACCGCCACCTCAGTGCTCGGCCAAATTAGCAGGTGGCCAACCACTGTGTGTGTGTGTGTGTGTGTGTTTGAGGCTGGGTCGGTACTCTGTCGTGTTCGACATGTACCCCCAATCCATACCGAGCCATACACAGACCCACCCGCCAAAACAGAGTCATCTCCTCGGGAACTTGGATGCGAGATATGACCGAGGCCAGAAACTCACTAGCTTGGCCGAACACCCAAGCAGAAATCGGCTGACTTGGCGTCACTTTCAGACAGCGGCTTTGCTCAAAAGGTACGGCATGGAGCGCATCATCTTTGTATTTACAAGTCTTCTAAAGCCGAACATGAAAGCTCAATCAGTGGCTTCAACCAGGACTTAGTGCAAATGGCATTCTACATTTCACTTCTCTTCACATCCAAGCCTGCTTTCAAGAACCCCTTAAAGCAGCCCTTCCACTGATCATCAACACTTAAACGAACGATGTTTCGGCGGGGCGCGGCGATTCTTGTTGCGAGAACTTGACGTTGGCAATGCCACATGCTCGCATCCCAAATGGAAGCTTTTTTCATGACTCCAACCGACTTTCTTGGCCAGTCTTGGAAAAGCAAAGTCTTCGTGAAACGGGAGCATTTCTTGAACGTCCAAAAGGGTGCAAGGATTGCTACTCCCCTGATTACGATGGAACCAACCAAAGCAATCCTAGAGGAAGCTCCTTTTGGCTTGAATGGGCAACCAGGTTGAATTTGTCCTACGAATCCTTCGGACAGTACATGGCCCTGGCAAATGAACGTCGAAGCAAAGCATTTGGGAATACTTTCCAACAGCCAAACTGACCCGAAGAGCACACCTATTTTGAGCCACTATTGTTTCGACCTCCTTTGGTCCTTTTCGTTTCCCGTTGAAGGCGGCCATGGTCTGAACATTTCTTCCCCCAACTTACGAGGCCTCACAAAAAGGAGAGGACATGGTGAGCTCAGTCCGGCACTGTTTTCGAAGGTGGGTGCTTTTGTTGCAGGCTACCATTCTCAGATCGTGTTTTTCGGGACACCAAAAAGACACCAACCATTTTGGGGGTCCTTTGACACATCAAGTGATCTCTGCATACACACTGGCCTCGTCCGCACCGGTCGGAGTGGAGGCATCCTGACAGCCAGCCGTCCTCTCTGCTTGACCCACATGGAGGCTACACAGAAACTCATACCTGCTTTCACAGAAATATATATATATATATGTGATTCGGGCACGAGCCTGTGCCCAGGCAATGGGTAAGTTGGGGTAAACAAGCCACAAAAGAAAGGTTCCCCAAAAGCAAACCAATCCCCGGTCCCAAAGATCAGGGTTTCCCACACACCAGAGAACAACAACCAAAAGGAAAAAACCAAACAAGAAAAGGATACCCGCAACCTAGATCGACGATGAACCGCACGGGCGATCCCCACCAACCTACCCCGGGCCGAAGTCTCTTTCTCCTCCGACACGAAGGCGGTCGACGTGAGGGCCCGGCGACGCTCATCCGAGGCGCGCCGGATCCAAAACTTGAGCCAAACACCACAGGTCAGTCACTATCGCGACATCCCTGATGATGAAATGAACATGGCTAATCACACCCCCCTCACGAGGAGCCCGTCATATGACGGGTGGAGCGTGCCATTTACTGATAGGATTTAACTGCTCGCATGCGTCCGCAAACAGCTGGACACTACCGCCGTCAGCGGTGGAGCAAACCCACAAAGGCAGTTGCGCGACATCCCGGGCATTAAATTCCCGCCACCACCCCGAATTAATCGGGGTAACGCTGTCCAACATACCTTGTGGAAAAGTCCACATGACGACACTAGGTCACAACTGTTTGCATCAACAATGCAAGAAGTTTAATTCTTATCAGAAGCCATGAAATAAAAGATAACGTATGTCCATTAGTACCCTCGCCTAACGGCAAGAGGTACTCCTGACCATGCGTACCTGAAAAATGCTTGAATTCCGCAAACCCGGGAGTAACCCCCCATCAGTTTGCTTTCCCTCTCACTCACACTGCTTCCCTGATGAACACGTCCAGCAGCCCAGCAGCGGTATGGGAGAGACATGACCTCCGCGCCTCAGCGGTCCGGGAGGAACATCACCACCTCCGCACCGCGCCGACCATTGGAGAACGGACGCAAGCCTATCGGCCGCAATCCTCGTGACTCAGCCTACCGGCTATCGTCACGTCTCCTCCGGTCACGTCCGCCCCGCGCACGGTCCCTATCACGATCCCTCTCGGATCTCCTGCGATCATCTCGCCTTCGATCTCGCTCCCGATCGAGTGATTCATCATCACGACGATCACGAGCATCGTCCCTCCTCCGGTCTCGCTCATCCTCGCGCCGTGGACGGTATCTGCGCCTCCTTGACTCCCTGGAATCCCTGGTGTCCACGGTCCTAACGGACCTCCGAGAAGGAGTACGGGAAACATCCGATTCCCTACGCCTCCTCCCAGATCGAGAGTTCGTCACGATCTGGTTGAGAGCCTCCAGTGCCGACGCGTCCTCACCATTCCTGATGAAATCCCTGACCTGCTTGTTCAGCACTCTGTTGGTGGAGATCGACAAGAAAGCGTCCACCACCGCACTCTCAGGCAGCACCAGAAAGTGACCCTCCACCGGGCTCGCCGCGGCCCGCTCAGCAGACTGCAGCCGGATCTCCCCGCCTTCAGGCTTCTTTGCCATCGCCTTGGAGGCCGTCAAAGGCGCTACCGCATCCTTTGCCGAAGACCTGCCAAGCGCGGAGTGAAGATCATCCCCGCTAGCTTCTCTCGCTGCCGCACCTGGTCTGCTGTCGACGTCGCCAAGCCTCGTAGACGCCTCCCGCTTCGTCGACTCCTTCGCAGCCTCGTCGGGATCCCAACGGGATTTCCTCTCTCTCTTCTGCCCTTCGGCCGACCCGCGGCTACCGCCGGGAGCGTCACCTCCGCCCGTCTTCTCCTTCTTGACCTCAACCTTCGGTTCGGCCTGCTTCGTCTCCTTAGCCACAGCTTTTGGAGCCGGAGCATTCTTCGCCTCAGATGCTGAAGCAGCCTTCCCTCTCGGCTCGGCCTTAGGAACCGGGGTCATTTTAGCCTTAGCACTCGGCCTGGCCCCTTCAACCACCATCTCGGCCCAAGACTTCTTCGGCTGAGCTGCTGCTGTATCAACCTCCATTGGAGCAGGTCCAGCATCATCCTTCGCCTTTGGGACAGATGGGCTACCGCCCATACCAGATCCTTTACCTGACACTTCACCTGATTTTGGTGGTGGGCCGGAAGGACTACCGCCCTTACCGCCCTTTTCCCCTTTCTTCCCTTTTCCTTTTCCGCCCTTGGGGACCGGCTCCTGCTTGGGACCAGGACCCGGCGCAGCATGATGCACCGATTGGAGTCCCTCGATGTCCACGTTCAATGGTTCGGGTTGACGACCGTCAAGAACCGTCCTCACCCTTTCGTCGCTAACGTAGACGAACGGGTCACGGAAGGGTGCGGGAGGCTCCGACTGTCCGGCACTGCCTTCTGCACCTTGGCTATCGCCTCCTTCAACCTCTTCTTCTCATCGTACCCTGTCTCCGATACCATGTACTTCCTGAGCTGCGAGATCAACGCATGACTCTCCAGGATGTCCACGTCCTTTCGATGGGTCGGGTACAATGGGGTCAGATGACCAGCCGCGGAACCAATCACGTATGCCATCGGAATATAGAATGACAAGTACGTGTCATGACGAGCGAACTTCCTAACGGAAGTCGTCATACGCCTACCCCACTGAGCAGCGTGTCTTGGGTTGGCCCGGAAGTACTCCGTGACCGACTCAAATCTATCGACTTGGTTGGTCTTGATCAGGTGCTTCGCCACCCACTTCTCCACAAACGCATCCGAGGCCGAAATCCCGGACACATAGGAGAATTGGAATAGCACCTTCGCCAGCTCATCCCACGCCGCATCGACACCTCCCTTGTCTTCACCAAGATAAGGGGGAAGTCTGATGCCGCTCTGCACCGTCATCCTTAGATCGGATGCCATCGAATAGGAAATCAAATTCCTCTTGATGACTCCGACCACTTCGGAGGGAATCCTCCTGGGCTTGAACTGCCCCATGGTCCTCACCCACTCCGGCACGATGTGGCACCTTTCGAAGTCCTTTTCCTCCGCGTTGGGAATAAAGTTCGGGTAAAAGACCGGGAGCGCGCACCCGGGACACAAGTGCATCCCATTTGGCATCAATTCTGCGCACCTCAAGCAGAACGTGGCAGTCACATTCAGCCTGATCTCTTCCCGTGATCGCCTGTGCTCTCCCCTAACGGGGGTGAAGTCACCGTAGTCCCATGCCCGATGGTACACTATCGTGTAATCATCGTACATATACGCCGCCTTCCAAGCCCCCATGTGGATCTCGTTCCTAACGGCAAGAGTCTTCCTTCTTGTCAAAAACACGGGTCCAACCAAGGACCAGTGCACCCGAAGATCCACCATTACCACCACGTACCTGCCGGAGTAGTTCCGCAGCCTGTCCCTGACATACCACGAAGGCGATACCTCAGCATCCGGCGCCATGGCTCCCACAAGTGGGATCAGGCCCTCATCCTGCCTACCATCCCCAATGGTCTCGTACACATCGGGCCTCGTGATCAATATCTCGATCATGGCCTTTCCATTTCGCCTCACCCTTTGGAGCTGAACCGCCTTCCGAAAGTCCGAGAACTTCATGATGACGTATCCCACCATGGGGAGTTCATTCCAATGCATCTCATACATCAGAGATCCGCCAGGTGCATCTTCCTGAGTATACCTGTGCCTAACGGCACTGTAACTCAAGTCGCGTCCGATCCGCGTGTGCCTAACGGCAACCAACCTGGTGCTCTCTCTGAGGAGAACGCCATCCCCGTCGTACATGACCATGAGCATCGCCTCCACTTGCCCTATCGGGAAAGCTTTGAGCGTCGGAATGAAGAACTTCCAAGACATCTCAGCGTTCTCCATGCCCGAAATCTCCTTCAGGAACCAGATGGCCTGGTCACTTTTCACCCAGTTTCCAGCCTCACGTCCGGTCTCCTTCAGCACACGTTCCTCGAATAACTCCGAGACTCTCTTTGAATTGATGACCAAACCGTCGAAATCGCACGAGAGCAGTCTCATCAATTCCTTCGCCGCCTCCCGTCCTGCAACAGTGCCCACGGTCTCCTCGTAGTTCGGGAGGTATTCGCCCAACCTCGTCTTCGAGGGAACCACAATCTGGCAAGTGACGGCCTCATCAGGGATAACTCCTGTTTCCCTTAACTCTGGATTGATCTCTCGCCTATCGGCAAGATAATCCTCCTTCCCATCCAGTATCACAAGATTGTAGGTCATCTTGCTCGCCGCCCCACTAGGCCTGAACTTCCTGCTTTCATCCAACTGGTCAGGAGCAAAGGGTCCACTAGGGGCAGCTGCACTCACCAGAGGCGCTCCTCGCCCAGAGCAGAGGTGCTTCCTTCTTGTGAAAGTTCACCATCTGATTCAGCTGCGATAGTGCGTAGGCACGATCCTCCAATGACGCACTCTTCATCCCAGCCTCAGTCAGAGGAGCCTCAGGCTTGTCATAGCTCGCCTTTCCGCCCCATCTCGCCGCGACCAGCTCAGCAGACTTTACAGGGTCGATCATATTTCCCGACCACTCAGGCAAGTTGCTCAACCTCCTAGTCAACGCGTCTACCGACGCAGCCAAGTCTTCGTCCGTCACGGTGTAAGGGTCGACCTTCTCCCTGTCTTCCTGACCCACATCCGGAAGCCTATAGTCCCCGCGGATGGCCTCCATCGCGGTCCTCTCGGCTTCCTCAGCCTCCTCTTGCGTGGCCACAGCTCTAGGAATCAAGAGCGCGACTTCAGCCGGCAACGTCTTCTCCATGTTGATTGGAGTGTTCTTGGGAAGGATTCTTCGATCATCTCCCTCCCCGCTGTACACGTAGTCCTGAGCAGTCTTTCGGTACTCCTCAACGGTAGCCCCTCTGTAGTTGGAGACCTTACTCGGGTCTGCCTTCCCAGCCTTAGTATCCCGAGGCGTGGGCTCCTTCGTCCCGGTGGAATCCTTCTTGGAGCCTTCCTGATCCACGTCCATGTCGTCCTTCTTCTCTTCCGCCATGGAAAGTTTCCCGATATCAGG